ACGTGACGACGACGACGACGACGACGACGACGACGACGACGACGACGACGACGACGACGACGACGACGACGACGACGACGACGACGACGACGACGACGACGACGACGACGACGACGACGACGACGACGACGACGACGACAACGACAACGACGACGACGACGACGACGACGTATCTGAATGACATAAAATCGGGCAAAAAAATGCATACACTTTATGCGCTTATGCATCAAATGCACTTGTGGACATCGCTATTACAGCATTGTGATTGGAAAAATATAGATTTTTTCACAAAATAGGCATTTACCGATAATATCCATATAATTAAAAGATATAATAATTTACTCCTACAGAAACGTTATCCGTCCGGTAAAGGATACACTGTAGCGTCTCTGTAAGTACAAAAATATTTCCTGACCGTTATGTAGCGAAAAAATATACTTGGCAGGAGACGCTACCGCGTCTCCTGATGACGAATCGAATCGTTTAACGGTCAATCTACGAGTCTCACTACATTACGTACGTCTTTGCCGCAATTATTGACAAGTGCTTTAATTGGTATACATTCAAGATCGTGAACATAAATTGCTAAAATGTCGCGCTTTATTAGATACTTGTGCGACTGCGAATTTCATTTCAGAATCCTTAGTAAATCACCTAGGCGTGAACGTGGTTAAGCACTTGTTGTCTATCGGTGCAATTAATGCAATGAGTACCGAATCAAAGGGCATTGTACGTATTATTATTTAATCAATTTATGATTTTCATAAGAATTTAATTTGTTTAACTATACCTGCTATCACAAATTTTAGTCCGTCTGAAACTTTTCCACACGATTCAATAAAAATCCCTCCAAATATTAGATTAGCAGATCTAGATTTTCATTTACCTAATTCGGTTAATTTATTGATGGGATCCGGAGCGACATTGTCGTTATTTTCTATCGGCCAAATTAATTTATCATGCGAAGGTTATGATTTATATTTGCAGAAAACGCGTTTAGGCTGGGTAGTTGCTGGCGGTATGACACCGCGAAATTTTTATAGGAATGAAACATATTATCTAACAAGTTTAGAAACTCAATTGAATAATTTTTGGTCAATTGAAGAGGTTGCGTTAGATAAACCTGAATCACATGATGAGAATACATGCGAAACGTATTTTATCAAAACCGTTTTACGTGAAAGTGATGGACGTTATGTAGTTCGTTTACCGTTTCGTAAAATAAATCAACGTCTTGGTAATTCGCGAGCTTTAGCACTTAAACGATTATCAATTTTAGAGCGGAAATTTGATACAAATTCTGTATTGAAGATTGAATATACTCGGATAATAGAAGAATATTTGAGATTGAATTATATTTCGTTGGTTAAAGAGCCTGATGATGACGAATTTTATATGCCACATCATGCAGTTATAAAAGAGTCGAGTAATACAACTAAGGTTCAAGTAGTTTTTGCTTCTGCAAAAACAAGTAATGGAATATCTTTGAATGACATGCTTCTGGTTGGGCCGACGATACAAAATAAATTGTTTTCACATTTAATTCGATTTCGCACGTATAAATATGTCCTTACCGCTGATGTTGAAAAAATGTATTTACAAGTACGAGTACATGAAGACGATCGGCGTTTCCAACGTATCCTTTGGCGTACAAATAAAAAAATCGAAACATATCA